ATTTCCTTGCTTGGCTTACTGACTGTCCGTAAGGCCCATGCGGTACAGTTTGCCGTGGAGCGTAAGATGCCCCGTGTCACAGAGACGAAACAGAAGCACGTGGCCAGCGGCAGGGCGGTGGGCTGTCTGGGTCCCGGGGCGACTGCTGTTGGGTCGGGAAGGGGAACGTGGCGCTGAGCGTCTGTCCCCAGCACTGGCATTGATCCCCTTTTCCGCTCTCCTCCTGGGCCACTGAAGACGGAGAGCTTTATTCCGGGACGTCGTACAACTTTTTGGGAAGCGAACCCATCATCTCCCGAAATTCTTCCCACAGCCCTCTGAGAACAGAGTACGCGATACCCTGGCTGAACGGTAAGGAGCAGGCGGCGCCAGCCAAGGTGCCTTCCCGCCTGGGGTCGCTTCCCCGCCAGCAGGGCCCCGGCTCTGGCTGTCCCCTTCCTGGCTCCCAGCCCGCCCGCGTGTGCCCCCGCGTGGTCAGGGCACTCCAGGAGCTGCTGGGGCCGCACGGCCAGCAGCCAGGGCCCTCGCTGTTCTCTGCTCTGCTGAGGGGGTGCTGCCTTAAGTCTGCCTTTACCCCTCCTTGAGAATGGATCTGGGAGGCTCAGAGCGGCGAACCAGGCTCATCAGATCGGCACGTGATGTTATAACCTCACCTCTGAGCGTCGTGTGTCCACGTTGGGTTCACGGTGCAGGGGCCCTCAGCTGCTCCCACAGGACTGTTCTCGTGGGTGCCAGCCAGGCAGAGCCAGAGCCTCGGGGCCCCTGGGTCTGGTGGTCGGGAATTTGTCCACTTCAGGCGTGTGCTGTTGGGACCGGCAGGTGCATGTCTTCCAGCGGGTCCCCAGGGACAGCGGGATCTGGCTCCCTGGGGCCCCCAGTCTGCCTGCCTGTTGGGAGCCCCAGCTCCGTTCTCGGGGTGGCCCCGGAGGGTGTGCTTCAGAACCACCATCTCAGGCGTCTCCTTAGGCCGAGGAGGACGTGCTGGGCACTGCCGCCCTTCCTGGGCCTGGAGTTAGTCTGGGGCGTGGCGGGGCCCCCCTCACGTCCTTTGTAGGGGGCGCCCGGGCCGCTCTGTGGGCACAGTGACAACCAGAGTGCTCCCTGCAGAGCCCAGCTTCGTGTTTTCCGACGTCATCCGAGAGAGCCTGGACAACGGCGAGGACGACAGGGTCTATTTCTTCTTCACGGAGGTGTCTGTGGAATACGAGTTTGTCTTCAAGCTGCTGATCCCCCGGGTGGCGAGGGTGTGCAAGGTGAGCGCCCTCCCCGCTTCTCCTTGGTTCCAGCCCTCGGTGACCTCATGTCATCCGGGCGCCACTGAAATGCCGGTGTGGACGGGCGTCGGGTGCGGAGCACCGGCACCTGTGTGTGGCGGTCAGACCTGCGCCGACCACAGCTTCCTCCAACCTCCCCTGGTTTATAGGAAGTTAGTTTTCCTGTGCTGTTATTAGCCAGATTCTCCTGGAACTGGGATTTGCCGCTCCAGTGTGAAGGCGGGAGGAACGTGTTTCAGCATATCCAGGATAAAGAAGGACACTTCGATTTCACGTGTGTCCGGTCGCCCCAGTTTCACCGTTTCTCTCCAGACTTCAGTCACGTCAGGGGTGTTGACGACTGTCTCTTGGTGGTCATTTTCCTAAAAAGTGTTCGTGGAGAACCTGACAGGTCCAGAGACCAGCAGGTCGCTCGGGGCCGGCGGGAAGTGAGGGTCTGATCTCCCACAAGGAGCACCTTTTGGGGGGACCACACCTACGCAGTTGACCTGAGACAGACGGGGGCGCCCGTGCGCCCACCGGCCCCTGGCGCCACGGGTCACTCACAGCCGGGCCGTGAGTCTGGAGAGGCACACGAGCCAAAGGCCGCAGCGATGACTGTGTTCGAGGACAAGGGGCGTCTGCTGCGGGACACTGGGCGTGGGCAGTCGGGCGGCTCCGGCTGCGACTGGGTGATGCCTCGTCGGGGGAGTTACCTGCGGCTCGGTTTTGCGCTTGGATCCGGGGCGCGAGCTGCCGTGGGAGGCGTGCCGGGGATGCGGAGCGGTCTGCAGGCCTCTGCTGCCTTTCGTGAAGAAGAGCTGTTCTGGGCCCGAGTGCGTCCCTTACCGCCCGCCCGTGGGGGCGCCTGCCCTCCCCCTGCCACGCCCGTCTTTGGGTTTCAGGGGGACCAGGGCGGCTTGAGGACCTTACAGAAGAAGTGGACCTCCTTCCTGAAGGCCAGGCTCATCTGCTCCCGGCCGGAGAGCAACCTCGTCTTCAACGTGCTGCGGGACGTCTTCGTCCTCCGGGCACCGGGCCTGAAGGAGCCCGTGTTCTACGGGGTCTTCACCCCACAGCTGTGAGTGCCC